TACACTGGGGTGCCACAAATTTCACTTAGGTGTGCCACGAAACTCCTTACCACACCCTAAGATGTCCTCATTCTCCAGCCCCTGACCCCAACTGCAGTTTGCTGTTAATTTTTCCTAACTTAAAAAAGGGAAGTCTATAGCATGTCTTTCCACAAAGGTGTAAAGCCATGTCCTGCCTTGAAAGACTTGAGTCAGTAAAAATAGAAGGAAGGAAGTAAAGGAAGAAAGGAAGGAAAAAGGAAACATTTATTAAGCATTTATTATGCACCAGTAGCACTATCTGCTAAGTGCTGGGTACACAATGTAAACAAAAAGAAAGATTCCAATAGAGAAAGACAATGCAGCGGAGTGAGCTGAAAAGATGGTGGGGCAGGGGAAAGTTACCCCACCAGGATTTTGAAGTATAGAAAGTCAAGAATAGGGCCAGAAGTGAAATAAAGGCAGGCCAATCTGGGCCCCATTCACAAAATGGAACTTCAGGAGGAAGTCACTGATGGGAGAAAAGGTGGTCCCCTTTCAAGATGAACAGGTGAAGGAGTGGTGAGATGTTCCAGGTGAGGAGGCCCCTGGAACTGAGGAAAGTTCCAGAATGACACCACAGCAGAGGTATAATTTTGAAGTCCAGAAAAATCAGAGAGAAGGCCAGGAAAGGAAGAGGGTGATGGGGTAGGTGAAGTGAAGAGAGATCCCATGGCCTGGCTTTGGAGGCCCAAATACTCAGGAACCTTTCCTTATTCACTTAAAAGTTCAGTGTGCTTCAGTTCCCTAAAACAATGAATACTGTGCCATGAGAAAAAGGAAAAACAAAACAAAAACCATAAGAACCCCTGATCTAGACAGTAGATAATCAATTTTCTATGTTCTAGTTCTGTTTATGGCTGATGTGATCTACACAGGCTGAGACTACTTTGCCCATGATGTTTTCAGGCCACTTTCTGAAAAGCCTAGTCGCTGGAGTGAAGGATGAAGGAACCCTTATATAACTATGGACCCTAGGGTTTTAAGAAAAAAAATCCAATTGGAGGAGGCCTAGCTCTTCTATTCATATAATTTCCTGCTCACTCTCCAGTCTGCTGTTCCCTCATACCAGCTGTCTTTCCTTTCTCTTTCAGCTCCTCTTTACATTTTGTCTCCTATTAAGAATGAAAGATCTTTGAGAGTAGGGACTCTTATTTTTGTATTCCCAATACTTAGTCTAGCATAGTGCTATATGTTATCCCCTTTGGTATCTTCAAAGCTATAGAGGAAACTAAAAATTACATTTTTATAAATTATTTACAAACATGAATTTAACTGTTGGTCAATTAACCATCAATAAATAAGTGTTTATTAAGCTCCAACTATTAAGTGCCAGGTACTGTTCTAGGCAGGAGGGATAAAAATACAATGGATGGAACATTTCTTACTTGCAAAGAGGTTATATGTAAACTACATCCAATCACTTACAAAATGACATACAACTGGAGGAAATAAAAAAAATCCACATTGACTTTCTCTCAATTAATAAAAGTAGAAGATATAAAGAAATTACAGGTATTTGAAAGGATGATTCAAAGTTCTCTTTGCAAAGGCAAATATAAGAGTTAGTGGCATTATTTTCATCATGTGCCCAAAGGCAATAATAATTATAATTTCATTTTATGGGACATGGTCCATTTTGTCCAAACAGAGTATTCAACAGACTACAATCAAACAATACCAGGAATTAAGAACTTATGTGGTAGCCACTGCGCTACATGCTGAGGATAGAAATATAAGCAAAAAAAAAAAAAGATAGTCCCTGCTCTCAAGGAGCTTATATTTAAATGGAGTAAGACAGCATATAGATGAAATGTAGGCAGTAGGCAGATGTCCATGGTGGTGAGGTCCAGTATATTGAAACATGCTTGGTCTAGCCCTCTTTTCAAAATGGAGGCACAGGAACCCACCAATAGAAGAAGGGGCAGAAAAAGAAGGCAGCTGAAACATATTGTCAAAATCCAGAGAATGAAATGAAAGAACATGCTTGTAGTTTATTCATCAATGTCTGTTGAAGAGGATAAAGAAGTAGAGAAAGTTTGGGAAAAAATTGTTAAGGTCATATATATAAAGTCAACATATAGTGACTAGATGAATTCTAAATATTTTTTTTTTTCCCAAGAGGACAATGAAGATCTAAATCTATGATACTATGACTTCAATGACAAGGTTAACAGTAGGGAGTGTGGTGAAAACTAGTGGAAAAATATGGTTTAGAATCAATAAATACAGAGACCAAAAACTTGTAGATTATTTTAAAGTATGATGGCTATACAACATGGACTTTTTTTGTTGTTTCAATGGAGTCTAGAGTGAAGGATTTTTTACCAGACTTGTTATCTATTGTTTGTTGTTTCAAAAGTTTTTAGTCATGTTTGCAAAGTGTATTACGTATAGAATTATGTGTAGTATAGGTTTGCTTTCAAGATAATCTATTTCTCTAAAAATGAATCAAATGCCATCTTGTTGCATCTCCCTTCTCCCCCTGCCAGAGAATGAAAAATAAAGCTGGAAAGATAACATTGCTACATAAAAGCAGTCTGGCATTGTAGATGGAGAGCTGTTCTTAGAGTAAGTAAGACCTGGGTTCAGGTTCTGCCTCTGGTACAAATTGATTTTTCTGACTTTGGATGAATCCCTTTAACTCTTAAGATCATAAAAGGCAAGGAAAGTGCTGTTCTGTGTTACTAGAGGAAGTTCCTTACTGGAAACCTCCAATGCTAATGAAATCAGACTCAGTATGAGTGAAAATAAAACCAAATAAAACAAATAGCAAATACACACGAGGAAGCAGTGTGGTGTAGTGAGCAGAGCACTGGTCTTGGAGTCAGAATACCTGGATGCTGATCTTTGCTGGATCCCATACTAAATGTATGACCTAACTTTTATAAAAACAGCAGACATTAACTTAGTGCTTTAAGAACTTTATACACATTTTGTCATTTGACCCTCAGGACAACAGTGTGAGGTAGGTAGTTGAGTTGTTATTATCTTCATCTGATAGAAAAGGACAGTGGAGCTAAGAGGGACAAGGAGTCTTGTTCATTGTAGTAGAGGTTGGAAGTGTTATCAATGCAAACATGAGGCACTTTTTTTTTTTTTTTTTAGGCAACTGGGATTAAATGACTTGTCCAGGGTCACACAGCTAGTAAGTGTCAAGTGTTTGGTCTGAGGCCAGATTTGAACTCAGGTCCTCCTGACTTCAGGGCCAGTGCTCTATCCACTGCACCACCTAGCTGCCCCTAGAAACACATCTTCTTGATTCCAAGTCCAGAGCTCCATCAATTACACTAGCAGCTCTCAAACTTTTTGCTCCCAGGACCCCTTTACACTCTGAAAATTATTGAGGATATACTCTCCAAGAAATCTTGTTCATTCAGGTTATATCTATTAATATTTACCATTTTAGAAATTGTATTACCATTACCATCTAAGTATTATTATGGATATAGTTTTGACTTTGCAAGTTAAATGGATTCCCTGGAGCACGCTTTTAGAACCACTGCACTACACAGTGTTGCTTCTGAGCTTTAGTTTCCAAATATGCAAAATAAGGGATAATGTTTGCTTTATCTACCTCACAGGGTTGTTGTAAAAACCAAGTGAGATATTACATACACATGTAAACATATAACTTTGCAGCTCTATGTAAATGTCAGTTGTTACTGTTAAATCATCATATGAAATTTTCATAGAGAAGATAGGGCCTGCTTATTTTGTATTTTCAATGAGAATAAACTGCTAATGAATGTACTTGTATTTTCTGCAACAAAAGGGATCTGTTTTCAGTGTGGGAGAGAGTCTCTTGACCATAACAGATATTAGGCACAGAATTAGATAGGCCTTAATTTTTGGCCTTTAACATTTTAAGAATGGGGTAGACACTAGTCAAGGATAGATGGATAACCCAAATTCAATCTTTCCTGGAAGCTAGGGAATGGTATCTCTTTATTAACTCAAAGAAATGTAAAAACCTTTTTAATAAATTCTGTTTTTAATGTAAAATTGACATGAAATTGACTCCACATCAGGTTACAGAATTTCTTTTGATCTGGTAATTAAAAATACTCTGCATTAATTGGGTGACTTGTTCTATCCATTAAAAATCTATCAGACAATAAAGTAAGACATACTACCTGTTTGTTTTCCCTGAAGCCAATTTATTGATTTTTTTTTCAGAATTGGTCTTTTATTTTCCAAAACATCACGTATTACTTATGTTCCTCATTATGGCCAAGGGTTTGTGAACCTTTAAATATTGACCTCAAGAACTTAAAGCATTGTGGAGGCTTCTTTTGCTCAAGACTGTAAAAAAGGTTTTTAAAAGAAAAACAAATTCTCACTGTCTAGAACTCCTGTAGCCCACAGAATCTATTATTTCCACCTTTCCTTTCTTATGTGTAATTAATTTTGATGGATGCTCTGAAGAGCCCATGCTCCATTTACTTGATTTCCATATAGAACAGTCCATTTGCAATGTCCTCAAATGTCACCATATTGTGAAATCTTGTGCTTATGCCTCTCCTTCCACAGAATTAATGGCATCAGGTAATTGATAGATTTTGACCTATACCAGCTGTTGACTCAAGCGTAGATTATTCTTATTCATCTAGTCATGTGAAGATCAACACTGTGCCCAGTTATCAGTTACCTAGAAGTATGTGATGTCACTTAGTTCTGATGTGTTAATTTTGAGACAGCAGAAGAAATTACATAGACTGAACAAAATGAGCAGTCAGTGTGAAGACTCATCCTTTGTGTTAGCAGTGGCCTCCTAATGTTTCTAGAGTGCTATAACTGAAGATTTGTTTTCCTATGTCCTTTCAAGGCTGTACTGCTGCTGAGGCGTGTGCTGAAAGTGAGTTAAATAGCCTGGGTATTAATCAAATTAATCACGACCTGGGATGGAAAGGGGTTAGGGGGGATGTGGATTTGGAAGTCAGAGATAACAATGAAAATCCAGTATACCATATCTTATTGCAGGTCAAAAGTCTTCTTTCAGCAAGAAGCCACAAGATTGGAATAACTATGATGGCTGTAGGAGGTAAGGTAGAAGAATTGAAACTTCTGTGGTAAGGATTTCATGTTAATTTTTCTAGTCCACACTCCATCTCTGATACATTGATTCTGGGATTTTGACAGGAAACTTCTTTGTTCTCTAGTCACCCCTGTAAAAGTATAATTTGCAGAGAAAGGACCAAACTGCAATGGGTCAAGGAGTTCTTCACTGGCAGCTCCCACTACCAGTGAAACCAGAAGTCCAGTCCTTGTGTCTATAATATTTCTAGTATCTCATAAAAAGCAACTGTTGAGTAATGACAGGCTAATAAATATTTACCTATCTTAAAAATGTAGTATGATAATATGACATTTTTGAAAAGAAGAGATGGATTAGAGTTTTTTAGGAGTAAAGCTGATTTTTGTAATAGGGTTAATTTTTCTATTAGAATTTTACTTCTAGATGACAAAACTGGTGAGACTTGGGTTCCTGTTCTTTCTCATATTCATTAAAGCTGTATCTTCATGTATAATTTGAAAATGGTTTAAGGCATGATCCTAGACACTTGGTGAAAATGAGCTGTAGTTCATGTACTCTAGAAGTATATAGTGCAGGACAGAAAATGGTGGTAAGTTTAAAACTCAATAAGTAATATATGGCTAATTAAAGCTCTTTGGCCTTCTCAAGTCTTGTTTTCAAACTTTGATTGACATAACCTATTCTGCTGACAGTTTTTTCCTTCTTCTAGTAGCTAGTGCTTTTTTTCTCTCATATTTTTCTCAATTACGTGTAAAAAAAATTAACATTTTTAAAAAAAATTTGAGTCCAAATTCTCTCCCTCCCTCTTTCCCACCTTCAATGAGAAGCCAAACAATTTGTTATAGGTTGTATATATGCAGTCACGTAAAACATAATTTTGTATTAATCACGTTTCAAAAGAAAACACAGACCAAAAACAAACCAAAAAAAAAAAAACCACCAAAAACAAAGACAGTAAAAATGTGTGTTTTGATCTGGAGGTAGATAACATTTTTCATCATAAGTCCTTTAAAATTGTCTTGGATCATGGTATTGCTGAAAATAGTTAAGTCATTTACAATTGATCATTGTACAATATTGCTGTTACTGTGTACAATGTTCTCCTGGTTCTGCTCACTTCACTTTGCATCAATTCATATAAGTTTTCCCAGGTTTTTTTCTCCTGAAATCATCCTGCTTGTCATTACTTTTGTTTAGCACAACTTGTTCAGTCATTCCTCAATTGATAGGCATCCCCTTAATTTCCAATTCTTTACCATCACAAAAAGAGCTGCTATAAAATTTTTGTACACATAGATCCTTTTCTTTTTATCTTTCTGGGATAAAGACCTAGAAGTGGTATTGCTGAGTCAAAGAGTACACATGGTTTTATAGCCATTTGGGAATAGTTCCAAGTTGGTTGGATCTAGAATGGTTGGATCAGTTCACAACTCCACCAATGTTGCACTAGTGTCCCAATTTTTTTCCCATTCCCTCAATATTTATCATAGCTAGTGTTTTCAAAACAAAAACAAAAACAAAAACAAAACATTTTTTGTGTCTGTTTATATTTTGTATATACTAATTTTTGCACATTTTGTTTTCCACTAGCAGAATATAAGTTTTTTGAATGCAGGAATTATTCATTTTTTTTCTTTGTATCCTCAGTGGAATAGTGGTTAGGAAGTTGGCCTCAGAACCAGGCAGATTTGGATTCAAGTCTTACTTCTGACATATACTGACTATGTGACCTTGGGAAATTATTTAATTTCTCAATGATCTAGGTACTTCTGTAAGTTGTAGAGAAGATGCTCACCTGCACTGGTGAAGGGAGTTTTCTCCCCAGGGAGTTCCCTATATTAGTTAAATAACATACCCAGTCCTTTTCCTTCTCTTCAGTACCTCCTACATATTAAGGACTCAAGTACTCATTGAATTAAATCTACTCTTAGGTAAGCTTCTTAAGGGCAGGGACCATTTCTTATATTTTCTTATGTATTTATATCACCAACCACAGCTTTGCATCTGGTTGGACCTAAGAAATGTTTGTTGAATTAAAAAAAAAGTTACAAGCATACTTTTGGATGGTCTATTCTGTTACTTTGGGGTTAGGGCCACAAAAAGGTGTCTTGTAAGTCCCCAAACTTTTAGAACATTGGAAGCAGTTTAAAGGAATGGTACTTTCTAGGGACAATGTGGGGCTGCTGTTAGAATGTTCTTAAAGAATAGGTCTCACCATGTCACCCTGACTCCCTCACCCCTACTAAATAAATTACAGTGGCTCCTGAATACTTCCAGGATTATATATATTATATCCTCTGACTTTCAAAGCCCTATAAAAGCTGGCCTCTTCCTATGTTTCCAGTCTTCCTATACCTTCTTTTCCTCCACATACTCTGTGATCTTTTGAAAACAAAGGATGAACAACAAGGAGGAGATGTCTTTTTGCTGTTCCTCACACACAAAGTTCCATCTCCTGGGGCCATGTCTTTTCAGTGTCTTTCTCCCATGCCTTGAATGCTCCACCCCCTCACCTCCATTTCCATATTTCTCCAGATTGCTACAACAAGCAGCTCAAATCCCACCTTTTGTAAGAGGCCTTTCCATAACCCTCCTTCCCAACTCCTTTAAGTGCCTTTCTGTCAGAAGTCGACTTCCATTTGCACCTCATAAATCTTGTACACACAGGGTTGCTTACATGTGTCCTTTCTTATTAGAATATAAGCTACTTGAAAGTAGGGATCATGCTTTTATCTTCCTTTGTGTCTCCAGTGCTTAGCACAGTGCAAGGAACACGGCAAGTGCTTAATACATTTTTGTTGTTCTTGTTATTGATAATGATGTAAAATTGAAATGGATCTTACCTATTATATTATTTCATTCTACAGTGATGATAAGGCTGAAGTACAGGTAGACTTCAACAGCTGTCACATCTGTTTTCTTTGTCTACCTTATCGGAAAACAATCTGCTTTGCTGGTTTCTGAGATGATGTTGAATGTGTTCAAAAAGAATCTTATGTTAGTATTGATTGGCCAGTTTATTTTTCTTGAAAGGCAAGGATTTTTCTTCCCACATTCCTAACAATATTTCTAGCCAATACAGCTCTAGGACATTTTCAAATACTTAAAATGGATCTCTGATCTTATCCCCACATCTGTTCCCTCCAATGATAAGATTACAATCTGGCCATGCCAATCCAACCTGTACAACTCAGTTTTCTGAATTGTCACATAAATTCACAACAGGAATTCTACCCACAGTGCCAAAGTGCTTCTTGGTAATCATTAGAAGACAAAAAAATTACAAAAATATCTGTAAACCTCTTTTCTATTGGTTTAAGGCTGAATGAATCCAGTCATTCATCACTAAAAACTGTCACACTATTCTTTCCTTTTTATACATATCACCTACTGTCAGCTGTCACAGCTTTAATTCTCTACAGTACTTTGGCCTCCAGTATTTGGACTTGATGTCTATACAAAAATCTGTTTTAACTTTGGCCAGGTGGGATGCATTATTTCTAGCTGCCATCAATCTCCCTGCCATCACTCCCTTTACCAGTGGCAGCAGGTAGATGGATAAGCAGCAATTAATCATCATTATTAACTTATATGTGCAAATATGTGCCTGGCACTGTAAAAGTAGTGTGAGATTTTGACAATCTATGGAAAAGATGTGAGCCATGTGCTTGAAGAGGGTGTGATCTACATGAAAATAGTTGCTGATATCATGTGCATTGCCTAACCCTGGAGTATCTTGGCAATTGCCTGATACAGCTACACTATATGCAATAATATGACTAGATGCTGTGGCAGCTGAAAGAGAACAAGCAAACAAAACTATAAAATCCCTTAAGAATTTTTTAATTGCCACCACAAAACTCATCTAATAACAAAATATTGGGGGAAGGCCATAGCTAGGTGGCTTAGTGGATGTGGTGCTGGGTGTGGAGTCCTTGCTGTGTGACCCTGAGCAAGTCACTTAACCCTATTTGCCTCAGTTTCCTCATCTGTAAAATGAGCTGGAGAGGGAAATGGCAATACACTCTAGTATCTTTGCTAAAGGTCACAGAGATTAGGACACAATTGAAAAATGACCATTTTTCTGACATTGACAAATGTCAGATAAATGACATTTGTCTGCTGTGGAAAATAACCTGATGGCAATATTGAAACATCTAACATGAGGTATGAATATTTACTGCCATATAATCAAAGATTCCCATCTCCTCAACACCTCCATCCCCACCCCCCCATTCTGCAAAATCAATAATGAGTTGCTTCTAAAATTACCTTTCCTCCTTTTGTTTAGCAAATGGCACCATATTCAATTTCAGGATAGTTTAGCCACTGAAATTGTGAAAGAGGTGATGACTCAAGGAAAATCACACAAGGAAATGTTTTAATCTGCCATTTTTACAGAAGAGTCAGGCACTAGTTTATTTCCAATTTCAAAGGCCAGGGGCAGCTCTTTTCATCATGAAATTATGGATTTTAATTTTTTTTAAACAAATTAGCCTTTGGGAGCAGAGACACATAGAAAACATTAATTTTGTGGCAGGAAAGATTAGTGCCTCTTTACCATCATCTTTACTTAAAGCCTCAGAAGTCTGCATTCAATGCTGTGGTTATAAAACTTTTTCACTTTTTGGTTCTATATTGGCCTAACATATTGCAATGGCCCCCTCCCCTCAGTTCTCCCATTTGCAGAAACAACTTGAATTTCAACCAAGATCACAGTTCTCTCCTTGGCACTGCCCTCTAAGCTACCTACTATTCTTCTTTCATTTTGAAAGGCTAATGTAAAAAAGATTCAAAGGATCTGTGGTAGGATAACTCTGTTGAATAATCATGCTCCAGTCTCCATGCATCTCTGGCTTGTATGAATAACATAATGGTTCTCTGCAGGCTTCAGTGAAAAGTATATTTGTGATTACTAATATCTTGAAAAAAGCACATTTATGCAGGAAAGGAATGCAAATAGCATTGTAAAATAACAGTGAAGTAAGGGTTGTCTATGCACTTGTGTGTGTGTGTGTGTGTGTGTGTGTGTGTGTGTGTGTGCGCTCAGGCAACCCTGAGCACAATCGGAGGCTCACTATAGCTTATTGAAGGATGTCGGGCATCTCATTTTGCTTTTCTGACCCTCCTGAATCCAAAGATTGGATAAATTGTTGCAAGTACTGTAAACACATCTCCTTTAAAATCTCTCCAGTGATGTCCAGAAGACCAGAAATACCATTCCTAAGGGCACCAGGTTCTAAAAAGGTGATTGACTTTGAGCAATCACTTCATCCAGTTTGATAGAAAATGTTCCATTGAGAAATATCATATTGTCAGAGGACAATCTTGGGTAACAACTGAAGAGGAGAGTCACAGCTTTATTATACCAATGAGGCATTTCCTGATTGTGAAAGCTGCAAAAACAGCTCACAATAACATCAGATTAATAAAAGGGAAGACACAGCAGAGCCTAATGACTAGAGTGCTAAACCAGAATGAGGTTGGAGGTAGGAAAAGACAGATTCCAATCCCACTTGTGTTACTCATTCTATATGAAAGCCAAGGGGAGACGCTTGACCTCCAAGTGCTCCCAAATAACTCTTTTGGGCCTGTTTACTAGGTTATAGATAAGTTGTGATTTATACTGATGGAATAATATGTAAGAAAGTATGGCACACCTATGCATTCTATTTGATCATTGTCAATGAAGCCAAAAATACTTAAATGCAGCTAGTGGCACAGTGAGTAGAGTGCTGGTCTGGAGTCAGAAAGATCTGAGTTCAAATCCAGGTTCAGACACTTACTAGCTGTGTGATCCTGGGCAATGCAAATCACTTAACCTCTGTTTGCTTCAGTTTCCTCAAATGTAAAATAGAGTTAATGATAGGGTTGTTAAGATCAAATGAGATAATATTTGAAAAGACTGCTTAACACAGTACCTGGAACACAGTAGGCACTATATAAATGCTCGTTCTCCCTCCTCTTTCTGCTTTCCCTCTCAAAAACTCGTCCAGATGAGCAATTTTTAAGTAAATTTTAATTTGTACTGGCAAAGGAACATGAAGTATGTATTAATTTTAGTATATTTGGAATGGACCTTTTATTGAGATTAATCAGTACTTGAAAGATAATGTAATTGATCTTTACTTCCATGTCTATTCAATTAGATATATGAAAAATAAATGAACAAAAATAATGTGTAGTCACTAGTAATAGTCATTCATGTTCAGACAACGTGTGCATTCTTATAAATGTATTTAATTACAACTGCTTCAAAAGCATCCTAGATTTTCAAAGGTTTTATTGTAAGTTTGAAGACTGGACAAGGTCATACTGCTTTTACATCATTCTACATGATTTAAGTATATACAAAAACATCTGAATATTACACAGCTTGAAAGGTTGCAAAAGTCATGTGTCTCAGATACCTCTGTACTTACTGACACATCAGAAGCCAGCATTGAATATTATAGTTTGTAAGTTGTTGGTTAGCAAAGATACACTCATTAGTACCCTTGGGTCTTCAGAGTTCACACTAATCTGTATGTAATCATTCCAAAAGAGAAAGTCAATGTAAAGATCAGAACCAGAGGCTGTGACAAAAGCTTTATTAGGACATATATAAAAACAGTGTATGTGTGTGTTTGTGTATGTGTGTGTGCGTGTGTGTGTGTGTGTGTGTAGGTTAGAATTTCTGGGTCAGAGAATTAACATATATCAAACCCTGAAAAGCTGGAATCTAGATTTTCTGTGTGGTCGGCCTGCTCAGATATAACTGGCTTAGTGTGAAGTTGAAATCTAACATTTTTGCTCCAGTTCGGGGTCATTATACAATTGATGCAAAAACTAAGGACTACGTCAGAACATTTCTCAACCTTTCCATGTATAGAAACTCCACCATTGCCAGCAAATAAGAAAAAGGCAGGTGCCACGTAAGTCACATTTGCTCTTTGAGTCAGTGAACAAACAATGTGTGTACCAGTGAAGAAATACAAAAGCAAGATGATAGAATGCTTTCCAACATAGTACTGAATTTACAATTGTAGGTTTAACCAATGTTTCCAACTAATCAATAATAAAAAAAGAAGAGTATCGCTAGAAAATATCCCAAGATAGCATCTGATGGCATCATAAGTGATGTTTTTCCTTCCATAAATCAGGACAAAGCATAAGTCCTAACACCTTGAGCTCTCTCTTCAGGCTCTTAAGGATAAAGCTGTGGAACACTATCCACAAAGAGACTGATAATAAATGTAGGTGGAAAGGAATAAAGTTATTGGATTTGATGAAAAAAAAAACTTTAGTCTTGACATTTCATTGTGTTTTTCACGAATCAAGGAATTTTATGTGTAAAAAAGGTAAATGAAAAAAAAAATTCCACTCCACCTGGAAAGTAACATAAATGGGTAAACTAATAATTGAGGAAATAGCAACCTAATTTTTGGAGGTTAATTAGAATAAATAATCAATTGAGATATTTTAAAACAAAGCTTTATCATTAAAGTCTAAAGCGATCCTTTTGAGGCTGCTGGTCAATGACCAACTTCTATGATATTCTTGTACCAATAGCTTTTGCTCTTGAAAAAAAATGCCATTATGATTGACTTTCTCTTTAAAATTGTTCATTATGATTGAAGACCACTTTGTATATACATCATTAAGGAATGCTGTTAACATACTTACAGACAAGACAATAACAGTCTAGTGGCTTTTGTTATGCAGCACAAATGAAAAAAAATAATTGAAAAACTGAATGGGGTTGCACAGGACTGTAACATTTTGTACATATACCACACTTTCTTTTAACCTTTATAGGACCCTTAAATCAAGTCTTTGAAAATCCTATGTCTAAGCCTTATAAAATAAATACTTATATAAATACACTTTGAAGGATCAGTACTTTTGTGAAGACATCTCTGCCTCTTTTTTTTTTTAATTCAAGTAACTTGAGAGATTTTGGTGAGCAGAACCTCCACTCTCTATATCTAATTGTTGCTAAAATTGCTTGGAAATGTCTTCACGTTCCTAAAATGCACTAATACATAGGACTGGACTTCCATTTTGGAAAAAAAAAAAAGACTGTTCTAGGTCTAGCAATATTTCTTTATCTCTTTCTCCAACTGAGGCTTGTGAAATAAATATGTTTTCTCTTATGAACATCAGTTTCTAATCTCAATGAAATTTTATTTATTTAGAAGTGCAGTAAACAACATACAAGTTGAGCACTTTGGGCAAAATTATGCAGCACTGTATTAAAATAAGCATACTGGAGAGTAGAGTTATTAACTTGGGGTCCCTGAACATTTTTAAAAAAAATATTTTGAACAATTTGAACCAATTGTAGTATATGAATATAATGGAATATCATTGTGCTGTAAGGAATGAGGAAAATGACAGTTTCAAAGGGACGTGGAAAAAACATGTATGGACAGGTACAGGGTAAAGTAAGCTGAACCAAGAGGACAATTTCTACTATAACACCAATGTTATAAAAATGGTGATTTTGAAATACTTACGAACTCTGACCAACTAAATGATTGTGATTCCAGAGGATAGATAAAGAAGGACATTACCTGCCTCAGCACAGACACATGATAGACTAACAAGCAGAATAAGAAATTCCTTTTGGGGCATGACCAATGTAGGAATATGTTGGACTATGTTTTGCTTGACTGTGATTGTGATGCATTTTGTTCCTTCTTTCTTTCCTTTCTTCCAAGTAGATAGAAAGAGGTGGGAGGGAGAAATGAATGCCTGATAATTGAATTTTTTTAAAATTTGGCAATTATTTCAATATAATTGATTTCTTTTGTAATCCTATGTATTTTATTTTATGCATTTAAAAGCACTATATTGAGAAGGCTGTTTCCAGGCTTTTCAATCTGCCAAAGGCAGCCAGGACAGACAAACAAGGTTAAGAACCCTTGCTATAGGATATCATTAAACTGGGTTTGTAATTACACTGCTAATAATTTTTAAAACCAAATGTGATAATTGGTGGAAAATATAGACTTTAAGGAGTTCAATACCACTTTTCCAATTTTCCTTTGATAACTATGTTGTCAAATGATAGTATGATTGAGGTAATTTATTTGTGGCATTTCTGTACTTACAGCTTTTATTCAGAATAAAACTATGTATATTCCTAGGTCAGAACCAGGGATTTTAGAAGGGCTTCATATTAAGTTCTGTACCTTATATAAACAAAGACTTTTTTTTTCAAATAGAATGAGATTTAACTGAAAAAAATTTAGATGCATTCAGGCCATGCACTAATGAAAGAGAACTGAATATAATTATGTGGGAGAGAAACTTCAAGAGCTTTATAAATAAATGAAGAATAGAATTGGAAGGTAGTTTATAATATCAACAAGGAATGCATACCACAGATTTACTTTTTCCAAAATGTGCAATAAATACTGACAATGTTTGGTTGGCACATGGAAACAATTAAGATAATGCTGAGTTATTTCATAAAGGGAAAAAAAGAGAACTAAACAAAACTTATTGCTAATTTGCAGTGTTCTTTTTCTTTTTTTTACAAGTAGGATGCTAGTTTCAACTTACTTTCTCCACCTCCACACTGAGGCAATCAGAATATCCCGCCTTTCCTGTAAAAAAAAAAAAAAAGGACACTACTCTCCCTTCCTAGTATATTTCAACCAGTGTGAACAACACAGAAGAATATGAGAAAGGTAATTCTACAGTTAGAGGGAATATATACGTGAACAGATCAAAAGAACAAAAATCAGGTTGAACCATTTAAAGGGCAGGCTTAGACCTCTTAACAAAAGACAGTTAGTGGCCTACCATAAATTGAGCATTTGTTCATGAAAAAAAACAAAACAAAACAAAACATTCAGTTTCCTACAGGTTTTGCACAGTTTGTTCTATGGAGATACTTTTTCAGAATATAGAGAACAGAGTTTCCAAGCACTGGGCATTGTTAGTCCTCCTCGGTGCAGCCCAGCAGCTCTGACCTCAAGGTGATCCTGCCATACCAGGACCAAGGAAGGATCCTTATGTGCCGTGCATAGATGGGAGGGTCAATGACATTTTTTCGGTGTGTGTCATTGTCAAAATTGCCCTGGAAAACCTGGGAAAGAAGAGTGAAGAACATTAATGATGCATGTCTTTTTCATATCTACTGAGAAGAGAGATGAAAAGGAAGGCAGTGAAAAGTTTTCTCAAAAAACAAAAAACAAAAATATTCTGAGAAATGTGCACCATTCATAGAAGGTATTTCTACACTTTAATAGATCTTTTATCTCATATACCTGCAACAGAAGACATGTAATTCAGGAAAAATGTAGTGACCTGAAAAGATGGATGCTACTTTGCATGATCTAGCAATTGTGGGGTTTCAAGAGAAAAATCCCGGGATACTTTCCATTTCATTGAGGGATCAAAAGTATACTTTGAGCTTACAGGGAAACTCCATCTGATAGAGAGTTGAATGACCTTCCTGTTTAATACTGAGACAGAAAACATGTATCCCACATTTTAAATTACTATCAAATGATCATTCAGTAGAATGTGTGAAAGCCTTCCATTATCTATTTTTGTGATTCCTTGTAAAGATATGACCAGTCAGTAAATTCCAAGTTCAATCTGGCATGTTTAATCAAATTCCAAGTAATCTATGTATCCACTTTCATAGAAGTAGTTTTAGAGTCACAATCGTGTCCATGTTGACAGTGTGGCCAAATATTGTACTCTTTCCCTTGGTGCAAACACACTGGCATAACCTTGTGTGGAAACTGTTAATTCTGTTCAGTTTGCTTGTCAGCTTGTGAGAGAGAAAATTGAAATACGGCAAATCATTGATTCTTCAAATACTTTAAGTAGAAGAATCCCATGGTCATTGATGTGAGGTGTTGTTAATATAGGAATAGGGATAAAAAATTTGATTTTACAGGTATGGGGAAATCCCTGGTAAAACAAAACAAAACAAAACCTCAAATCAGCATCTTCTCTACAACTTAAAGTGTTAAAAGTTTCCTAGAGCACTGAAAGAAGGTATGTGGCATGAACGAATTATCATTGACTATGCCTTTGGTATAGTCTGTGCCTAAGACTTGAGGCAGCTTACCACACAATGTTTCCCCAGGGATACTTTACACAAAGAAGTATAATCATGGACACAGAGAGAAATACACCTAGGTAACTCCACAGGGATAGACTCCTATGCAATGGCAAGATCTCATCTGGATCTCTTGGTTTTCTTCCTATCAATGTATCCAGCCTCTATAGAGCAAGTTGAAGAGCCAGTTTGGGAGCATTATTCCTAAAGCCTATCCTGGGGTGGGGAACCTGAGGCCTCCAGGCCACATGCGACCCTCTAGGTCGTCAAGTGGGGCCTTTTGACTGAATCCAAACTTCTACAGAACAAATCCCCTTAAGGAAAGGATTTGTTCTGTAAAACTTTGACAGACTCAGTCAAAAGGCCGCACCCAAGGACTTAGAAGGTCACACGCAGCTTGGAAGCCTCAGGTTCCCCACCCCCGGCTTAGCCTCTACTTACTTTTATACCTGCCTAAGGATAGGCACTTAGTGAAAGAGAAGCTGAAACCTCAATGATACTATTGGTGTTGACTGCTGACTTCCTGCCACTCCAGTTCAGTTTTTCTGCCTCCTAATGTTAAATGCTATTAAAGCAAAAAGGAACAAATAGCACACATAGCATATAGTAGAACAACTGAATAGATGAAAAAAGTATTTCTCTTTTGTATTCTCATGTGTAGGAAGCAGAGAGACATATTTATTTCTGGTATCCTCCCTTTGTATTGTGGCATCTTGGCTCTATTTTTGAATTTAACTTGTCTCATGGAAAGGGAAATGTGATCTTTCTGTAGTTGTTTTAGGTTGATCAGTTGGTCCTTAACTCTGACTCATTTGAAGAACAAATCTTCAAAGCTTGCAAACTTCAATTTGTTAAGCACCTGATGGCTTCAGGAAGGTTTGTATTTTTCTTGTTTAGAGTCAAAGTTGGCCGATAGGAGATCTGACAGTAAAAGTCTGGGGGAAAAAAAGCAACCCCAAGACCACATAGCAGAAAATGCAACGCATTGCTTCACAAGGACTAAAATGAAAGTTAGAAGATAAGAAATAATACCCTTTAGAAGGAGTTGGTTCAGTCACACATGAGCAATAAAGGTGCTCTGGAAGCAGTAAAAAAAAAAAATTAAAAAGATACTCTGCTTCAAAGCATAAGGTGGTGGTGGCACAGATTAATAAAAGGCACAGAAAAGACAGGGTAGCTCCACTGTGAGTTGGTGGGAAAAAATCTACTTTAAGTAGATGGTGAGAGTAAAATGTCACATCCATATCTGATAGGGGAACATATTTCAACTTGATATAAAAATCCTATCCCCAAGGCCATTTTATGAATTAGTATTTCTTGGAGATCATAATACTGAGGCAAGTGTAGAATCTTGCCTCACATCTGGATAAAAGTTTTACTTATGGGAAATATACTTATGGGAAAAAAAGCCCTGCAATAGTGCTCTCCGGGTAGAAGATGGGAGTAAGTAGAGGAGGAGGAGCAGGGGAAGAAAAGGTGGAGGAAGAAGAGAAGAAAGATGAGGGGGAGAAGGGGAAGAAGAAGGGGAGAAAGAGGAAGACAACAAGAAGGAGGATGGTGTGGACAGAAATGTCTCGTGAAGTCAAAGTGACTCTGACCTAATAAGCGCACAATACAATATTCCACCCAAGGAAACACAAATATGAAACCTCCAAAGAGATTGTTTTTGCAACAGCAGAGAATAAACTTTCTGACTTCCTGACATACTCCCTGCAGCACAGTGTTGTTTTCAAAAGGCTCACAGGGATTGTGGTGCCACCATTCAATACTGAACTCTAAAATCTAATTTTGCTACGCTGCTACAGAATGAAATGGATAACTTTGGAACTCCTGGTTCAGATTTATTAACTTGCCTTGCAGTGTTTGCAATGCACCCAAATAGAGTTCTGTGCACTTTGATCTTAGGAAAGGAAGAAAGGGTGCTAAGATTTTCCATTCTAGTCCACTAGTCCCTAGCTCAGATTTTAAGTAGAAATGATTAATTCCTCAAGCATTAGTTGAGTTATTATTGACACAAAATTTAAGTAATGGAGGACAAGCTTTGAGAATCAAAACTATGAACAAAACTGAAATATGTCATAACCTTGTTAATCTCTCACTTCAGTGTGTGAAGGTTGGAGATATAGTTCAATTTTTTTTCATAGATTTAAACAACTAAGAGTGAACACAACAAAGAAGCTACAATTTATATCTAAGAGACACAAATATAATCAAGATCATAACAGTGAACCTAGAAACAAATGAATTCATTCTCCCAAGTCTCTAGGTAACCAGCATAATAGGCAAGTATGAGAATACCGATTCAAAAATATTACCATGCATGTGCAGGCAAATGTGCTGCACATGTGGTGCCTTCCTTGCTATACCACTAGGGAAACTCTACTGATAATGCTGTCACTGTGCATTACCTGAAAGAAGATTGCTAAGCCAGAATATTTTTGCAGTGAATTCAGAGAGAATTCTTTGAAAGGTGGGCAATCATATACACTACAAAACAATAAGCATTTACATTCAATTCAATTTCTGAAGGACTGAGAGGGCATAAACACTCATCCACAAGCAAACATCTCTTGCATGTGAAAGTTCATCTTGTACAGATGTTTCAGGTTGGAGAGAAGGCTATTAGCTAATTATCTGGTGACAAGTTTGCTGATGTATTAAAATACGATACTGCTCATACTCCCAACATATGGAACCTGAGGGAAACACCCAGTGTTTTGGATATGTACCATAATTGATACCTTAAAAAGAAAAGAGATGTAAGTTAAGGGTTAGGACTATTAGAATGCCTTGCTATCTTCTTTTGCTAGAAAGGTGATGGATTCAGTTCTCTTAGCTCACCTTTTATACTATATTGAAAAGAATGTATGTCAAAAAGTAGTAAAGAGTTAATTCTCAACATATGGTAGCAAAATATATTATTGGGAGAATATTAGACATAAGAAAAAAAAAGTAGTGATCTGAAAGTCATATATTATTTCCTTTGGACATCAGTTCATGATGCTGCAACCCAAAAGACCCACATAATATTAAGCATCACTAAAAATGTTATTAAAAACAAGCTAGAAATTATTATCATGCTTGTAGGTAAAAATATGACAAATCTTCTAGGCCATGGAAGTGGGTTTGGAGTCAAATATGGAATCAAATAAGTAGCAGAGTCCTGGCTCTGCTGCTTATCCACCATATGGCCTTGAGCAATTCATTTCACTGAGCCTCAGTTTGCTCCTACATAATATTAACCAGGGCTATGTTTTCATTCAGACCTGTATCTGTTGTCAATATTTGGTTATGGCCCATGTGAAAGATTTGTTTTGCTGGCCTATGCGTATTTGCTACAAGGGCTTTGTTTTTCTTTTTCATGGTATGGGTGGACAGGGTTGGAGAGAGAAAATAAATGCATGATAATTGAAAAAAAAACTGGAAAAAACAAACGCACAAACAAACAAGGGATATAATACATAAGATCATGTCTTTCCTAAGTAATGGCAACCTTAACATTTAATTATATTTTGTCTTCTCTTGCTGGATATTCCTGGTTCTCATTAGAAACTGCTCAAAACATATTTGAATCTATTCATGTTTTTTACTTTTTCCATGCCATCTCTTAGGTTAATAAGTATCTTAAATTTTTATTTGTCCCAATATTACACCTTTTGATTACCCTTTAATTTAAGGGTCTAGAATTTTGAAGATGGTCGGTGTTCATCTTACCTACTTCACTTATTTTATAGATTTTTATCTTATTACCTCTTAGCTTTTACTTTTTAAAGTATTACTTTTTAAAATATTACTTTTTAAAATATTACTTTTTTAAAAGATCTGCAGATTCTGCTTCAAAAGATAGCTTTACCATTCTTTTGATTAAGAGAGTTAACCATTTCTAGCTCCAGTAACAATTTTCTTGAGTCCCAATGATCAGGACTGCACCTATTATTCCTTAGGATTCTAGAAGTTAAAGATGAAAGGGATCTTAAATGTCATATAGTTTAAACTCCAAATTTTATATAGCA